CCTGCTCCTTTCCCTTGGGACGGGGTGATGCGGGATCCTCCAGGAATAGGACACCAATCCTTGTGGGATGAGCCTAAACAGAGCCCAGCTGGAGTGAGGGGAGTTTGAAAGGTGGCATCAGGAGGAATTTCTCCCTGGAAAGGGTGGACAGGCCTTGGCAGGGGCTGCCCAGGGAGGTTTGGAGTGCCCAGCCCTGGAGGTGTCCAGGGAAGGCCTGGCCGTGGCACTCAGTGCTCTGGGCTGGGGGACAGGGTAGAATCAATGATCCTGGAGGGCTTTTCCACCCTCAGGGATCCTGGGATGCTGAATTGCCACTTTTGGGGGTGTTTAAAAGTGCTGGAGTTTCCAAGGAGATGCGAGAGACATTCCAAGGGGAAAGCCTGAGGTTGCATCCCTTTGACAAACCCCGGGGGATGTGGAGCTCCAGCAGTGCCTTCACGTGACCTTGGTACAAGAATTGGGCACCCGAGGCCGTGGTTTGGTGATGAGCATGGGTTGGGGTTGAGGTTGGAGTTGAGTGGTGTTATGTGGCCATTTTTGCAGCGTTTCTCCCTGCCCTGGGATTTCCCAGAATCCCAGAATGTTACAAGTTGGAATGGCCCCCCAAGGCTCATGGAGTCCAGTTTGCAGGGGCTGTGCCAGGGAGGTGGCCGTGGCTCACTGCTTGAGTTATACAAGTGACTTCAATCAGTTTATCCCATCTCAGATACTCCCAGTAGAACCTGGAAGGGGTCAATCCAAATCCATGGGGTGGTTTGGATAAGGAAGGACCACGCCCTGGTTGGTGCCTTGTTCTGGGATCTTGGAGGAGGAAGAGGAGGTCAAACCACTGGAATTGCCCCTTCCCTGTCGGGTCTGGTTGTGTTTGTGGGCAGGTCCTGATCCCCAGGCACCCTGGGAAGGAGCAGCTGAGGATTCCCAGTGGAAGGGGAATCCCGGTGGCCGCGGGCCAGCGGTCGGAGCGGTGGCACCTGCCCGGCTCCCTCGTGCCCGGGGGCAGCACGCCAGGGCTGGAGGGGGCCCTGCCCACGTGGGCAGAGCTCTGGCAGGGCCACACAGCTCCTGAGGTGTGTCCTGGGCACATCCAGGAGCAGCTGCTCCAGTTGGGGCTGGGGATACTCCAGGTTCTCTTTCCTGGCAGTTTTCCACCAGGAGCTGAGCTCGGCGTGGCCTGAGGCTGCTCTGGGGTGGGACTGTGGGAGGCTCTCCCTGAAGGTCTGTCCTGAGTGCAGGTGGCAAGTGGCACATGGGAGGTTTATCTTTATTTATTTATTCTTTGTAAATTTGGTTGTTGAAGTTGGTCACATTTTGGTGGTCCCTGGATCATCTTGGAGCAGACCTTGAGTCATGTCTTTGAGTGTCCAGAGCAGCTCTCAGCCCAAGGCTTTCACAGGCCCTTCACCTGAGCATTTGCTGGCCTGGTCACATTCCAGATGGGATCTGAATCGGGAATTCA